CGAATTCGTTCTTTTTAAGGACAATTAGGCAATTCCTACATCTCTTACCCCCAAGAAAAACAACCAGAGCTGAACGCTTTCTCTCACTACCTGACCAAATAGTAACTGGAAACAGTGGAGGTTATGAAACCAACTTTGTGCTAACTTTGAGGGACATCTAATAAACAGAGCGCAGGTCTTGGAAGCAAGCCATTAACTAAGTCTTCCTTCTGTTTTATACTGTTTCCTTTCTGTGATTTTTTTTTTTCCTACCACGAAGTTTCACAGCACTCATTCTGGAAATACCTCTAAACTGACGCACTTCTTCAGCTGTCCCAGTCACAAAATCTTTTCTGTGACCATAGGCAAGAAGTACGCTGTAGAAAAGAAAAGACGTCTGTTTGTTTCCTAATAATGACTTCTTCCCTCTTCGGGTACTCTGGCAAAAAAAAAAAAAAAAAAGAGGCGAAGGGGTAAGGAAACAAACAGCAAAATCCTATTCCCTCTTCCATCTGTACACTGGCAGGTGGCGTTTACCTTACAACTTCTTTTTAAAGCCCACAGGTCGGAAACATGCGAACTGAGCAAGTAGCGAAGACCCCGCTGCAGGCCTAAAACGGCAAGCGAGGCTTCCAGCGGCCGAGGCAGACACCTGCGTGCCGACTACCGGCCCAGCCTGCCCGTAGATTATTTACCAGTGGGATTTAAACCCGCTCGGCGCGGGGGCGTGAACTGGGCGGAGCCCCGCAGCCCGGGTGGGCGGGGCGGGGGCGGGGATCCCAGAGGCTCCGCGCCGTTTGGGAAAGACTCAGGCTCCGGGAGCGAGCGCCTGTCTCTTTAAATGCCAGGGGCTGCGCTCCCTCCCGGGGAGCCTGGAGCCGGATCTACAATCCCGTTCCTCCCGCTCCCGCGCTTGTTGCTCGCCCGGCCCGAGCGGGAGCTGCGGCTGTCCAGCAGCCAGGCTTCTTCCTTCTCCTCCTTCTCGCGTCCTACCTCCCCCAAGAGCCAGTTGAGGGGGCGCAGCAGCCCCAGCAGGAGGCAGGAGGTGCGGGTGAACAGGCATTGCCCCCCCCACCCTCAAGTCTTGAGGCGCTACGTAGCCGCGGGAACAAGACATGCGTCGCTCCCCCCTTCCCAGTCTCGCTGCTGCCCGCGCCCGGAGAGGAGGTACTGCGAGGTCCACACCTGCAAAGTCGCCCTAGAAGTCTCAGGGTGCGGCGGGGAGCCCCTCCCCGCTCTCCAGGGCCTCCACCTCTCGGCGGGTGAGTTTGCGCAGGTAACCCGAGCTAGAGGGCTGGCGCGCGGGGGAGGGACGGGCAAGGCGGGAGGAAAAAGCGCCGCAGGTGAGCCAGGTAGGGTGGCTCACCTCCCCGGACTGTACTACGCGATCCTCGCTGGTTTCCCCGGGGAAGGAGGCTTGGGGGGGGAGGGAGGTGTCGTCTCAGGGGCTAACTTAGGGTCCTGGGTGAAAGGGGTGTTAAGAAAGAGGGGACTGGAACAAAGTTTCTCTTCCTTATCCCCTCCTGCCTGGGCTTGGCAGGTAGGGCGCTGGCGGAAGCAGTAGGAGCCGCTGATGCAATGGGCTTTTGCCCGAGAGAGGTGAAGGGCTGGGGGCGGGGGAGAGCTGGAATTGCCCGGCCTCCTGTGACCGTGACCCTAGTGGTGGAGAAATGAGGAAAGGCTCAGTACATCCGAGACTCCCGTAGAATGGCACCAGGTGCTCGACCCGAACCTTTCTTCCCCTTCTTAACAAATCGTCCTTTACACGGAAGGGCTCCTACATGGCTTCCTTGCCTTCCTCTCCCAACAGGTGGTCTCAGCCCCTGTCCGGGGACCTGTGCCAATGACCCTAGTGGTGGTTTCGCTTTCTCTCCTTTCGGCGGCGTGAACGTGTGTCAGCAGCAGCGTGATGGGCAACCAGGTGGAGAAACTGACCCACCTAAGTTATAAGGAAGTTCCCACCGCCGACCCGACGGGCGTGGACCGGGACGACGGGCCTCGCATCGGGGTCTCCTACATATTCTCCAATGACGACGAGGACGTGGAGCCGCAACCGCCACCCCAGGGGCCCGATGGCGGTGGCTTGCCGGACCGCGGGGATGGGCCGCAGCTTCCCCCGCCGCAGCCCTATGACCCGCGGCTGCACGAGGTGGAGTGCTCCGTGTTCTACCGCGACGAGTGCATCTACCAGAAAAGCTTCGCGCCCGGCTCCGCGGCGCTGAGCACCTACACGCCCGAGAACCTGCTCAACAAGTGCAAGCCTGGAGACCTGGTGGAGTTCGTGTCGCAGGCGCAGTACCCGCACTGGGCGGTATACGTGGGCAACTTCCAGGTGGTGCACTTGCACCGGCTGGAGGTGAGCAATAGCTTCCTGACGGACGCGAGCCAGGGCCGGCGCGGCCGCGTGGTGAACGATCTGTACCGCTACAAGCCACTGAGTCCCAGCACAGTGGTTCGCAACGCGCTAGCGCACGTGGGCGCCAAGGAGCGAGAGCTGAGCTGGCGCAACTCTGAGAGCTTCGCCGCCTGGTGCCGCTATGGCAAGCGCGAGTTCAAGATCGGCGGGGAGCTGCGCATCGGCAAGCAGCCCTACCGGCTGCAGATCCAGCTCTCTGCGCAGCGCAGCCACACGCTCGAGTTCCAGAGCCTGGAGGATCTGATCATGGAGAAACGGCGCAACGACCAGATAGGGCGCGCGGCCGTGCTGCAGGAGCTCGCCATGCACCTGCACCCCGCCGAGCCGGAAGAGGGCGACAGCGACGCCGCGCGGACTACGCCGCCTCCCGAGCGCCCCCCTGCGCCCGGCCAGGAAGAGGAGGACCGAGAGGTGGTGGTGCAGTGACCGGCGAGCTGGAGGAAGAGCTGTGAGAGGGAGCTGTTTGCAGCAGGCGCTGCTCTTTCTCTCCTCTCCCTCCCTCCTCCACCACCCTCTGGGCTCCTTCTGGGCTCCTGGGCCAGTTGGAAAATGGAGGGTTCGTGAAAGGCACAGCCAGCTGTAGCTTGGTCTTGTTATCTTGGACTGAGGAGGAAGAGGGAGCAGGTAGGAGCATTTTGGCTGGGGGCACTTCCTGTTTGCCCTCTAGATGCGTCTTCCTTTCTGAGGTGGGGCAAACTGTGGACGTGCCTGACGGTTAATCTCTGTTCGACCTGGGTCCAAAATCGACTCTTTGTACGCACGCGGGGGTGCAGAAAAGTTCAGAGTACCAGTGCCTGCCATTGCCCCCTCCCGGCTTCTCTCCTACCCTAGGCTTTGAGGATGCCCTATCCTAAGGCCAGAGGGCCGTTTGTCTGCTACCCTTGTGGAGCTGTGTGTGGGATTCGGGAGGCTGGGATGATTTATGGAATTCCTGGGTGCAAAGCTGGAGAAACTAGGACCAGATCTGGGAGCAGCAGACCAAAACCAAACAGCCACCTGTGAAGTGTAGCAAATAAGTAAACTTGGGCTACAAAACAAAGACTTTACTACCTCCCCCCTCCCCATCCCCAAGTAATTCATCTTCTGGAGCTGCCTTCTAGCGGAGTCTCCTGCTTTCTCCTCCACCCGCACTTTCCCGGTTGCAAGTAATCATTGTCATGGGCCAGCTAGGGGAAGGATTAGTTATGGTTCTGTTTGGCCGCCTTTGTTTCTTGCCTGCTGTTGTAGGCACTTAGCGCTGTGTTATTTGTCATCAAAGAAGGGAATAGCCCTTTGTGTCTCTGATCTGATCAAACCTGCTTGGCTGTGTTCATCCACAGGTCACACATAGGGTTGGCTGGTGCCACCTTATAGAGTATCCACTACAGAAGCAGCCAAACAGGGTTGTCTTGGCAGGAATTAGTGAATTACTCCTACTCTCCACTGAACCCCATTCCTGAACAGTGAAGGTATAACCTTTTAAAAATATAAGGCTTTGGTAGTGGTCCTGTGAATTTTAATTTTCCTTCACTGGCCCATCCCTCTCACTTTTGTTTTGCTACTGGTAAAATCTTAGGCTTGAAGCATATTTCAATGATAAGTATTTATTTTGGTAGCCACACTCGATGCACACATAATTCAAGATGCAAAGTCCTGTTACAGTGCAGGAGTCCCTTCGGAATGCTTTTTCAATTAAGGGCGGTGAAAGTAATCACAAATGCCACCTGGTGTAGTCAGTGCCGAATCTGGTGACAGTTCTAAAACACAGGTTACGATCGTGGGATCTGTTGGCAGCAGGCTGGCCAATACTATCTGGATCTGTTGCCGAGCTGTTTGTTTTACTATGAGGCTTTAAAAGAGTTTTTACAACCTGTCTCTTGTATTCCTGTGAGCTCTTTAATGATTCACACCCTCAATTTCAGAATGCTGCACACTGGCATTACCTAATACTGTCTCAAAAGTTGAGTAAAGTTTTTCTTTCTCTTGGGAGTCATGAGAGATTACACTGAACAAATCATTTTGTGACCTAATTCTTACAGTGGGAGTAGCTTCATACTTGAGTGCTCTACAGCCATGGTCATCCATTAGACCCGGCCTGAAGATCTCTAAATCAAGGCAACAAGACTTGAAGGATTTTTCTTTCTTTCTTTCTTTTTTTAAAAAGCCTACAGCACCTGGTCTTCCTAGGTGCTCTCCCATCCAAATACTAACTAGGCCCAACCCTGCTTAGCTTCCAAGATCAGATGAGATCGGGCGTGTTCAGGGTGGCATGGCCATAGACTTGAAGGATTTCTTTGTATACTTTTTTTCAAACTTGGAAATCGAGGCCATAATTTTGAAAAACCTTCATAGCACTTCAACATGACATTTAATTACAGGGCATTAGCTGTGTTTCCTGTTTTTATAGGAATCACCAAAGAGGTCCTATCACTTTGTTAAAGATAAACCACGCTCAGCCCCAGTCTGTGACTTCGACATCGGTCTCCTGTTGGAAATGTAGATCTGGTTTCGTAAATCTCCCCGCTTTGTCTTTGTATTCTCTCGCTCATGGAAAAGCTGAGCAGGATAAACACGGGTAAAGCCATGTTGAAGAGAGCCTGTTACATCTAATGGATTTGGATTTCTTTTATGCTTAACACAGTAGCGAAAATTGAAAGTAATGACCAGTATGCAGACAGCAGGAAGGAGGAAGAACAGCGCAGTACCGTCCAGCAGCTCTGGGCGGCTTGGCCAGCCCTTCCGCTGCCCCATCTCTGTCTCTCTCTTTTGCCCTCGAATGGAAAGTGAATGTCATTGGTCATACTGAGGTATAGCAGTGACTACCTGTTGTTGCAAATGAACTGTTTTTTGAGAAGTCTCAGCATGAAGGAAGAACTCCTGTAAAGGTCTACGCCAACAGCAGCATCCTGCCTCTAAAGAAGAGGTTTTTGATAACAGGGCTTGAAAATGAACTAGAAGAGGAAATAGGTCAACTTCAGACGCTGCCTTCCCATGTAAAGCAAGTATTTTTACAGGACGCCAGAGATGTGAAATATATACTTGGGAACAGAGATTCCATTGGAAGCTTTCTTCGGGTTCTAAAGCTTCAGGTAAAGCAACAGCCCTGTGAAGGTGCCAAGAAAGGAGAATCAGATCAACTCTTTGCTCCTTCCTCAAGATGGCAGTGTTGTGGATAACTGAGTTTTAATGCCAGGTAATGGCTACACCTGGCACTCAATTAACTTGTCAATTAACTTCTGTGTATATGGACACACACATATATATACACACACACACACACACACATTTAATAATTTTTATTTCTCCTTAAGATTAAGACTTTAGAACTATTTTGTACTGTGAATTATGGTTGCTGTTTGAAGGAAAGAAATATCAATTTCAAAGTTCTTCAGAAGCTCTGGCAGGGATAAGCAGGATACCCAACTGGAACGTATGCTAAACGTAATCAGACAAATTCTATTTTCTTACTTGAGTAACTATTTTATTGAGACTGCTTATGTATGGCAAAGGAGCCCACAACTTCAGCTACAATTTTTTGTATCGAAAGAACTCAACTTTTTGTAGTTCTCGTTCCACATTTAATTTAAAATAACTTTATAGCACTAAAATGCCTAACAGAAGACTTTACTCCAGACCTTTAAGGAAATTTTTAGTTTTTATGAAAAATGACACTTCAGTGGTTAAATTTCTCATGTCTTTGGTGCTTCTGGCCCAAATAGCACTGCTAGACAACACCACAACCACATGGAAACATATTTTTGGAAGCAAAACTTTAATTTTATACAACATATGCTATGGAGAGTGAAGAAAATTAACTACATGTTTTCTATCTTTTTTTTCTTAAAATGAAATCCACTGTGTTGAAGACTCCTGATATTATGTGATTAACCATTTTTATAAATTAGAATAACATCTAGTGTGATCATGGTCATTGGATGGATTTGTTTGGAAAGTTATATTTTATTATTTTTTTTTAAATCAGGGTAACTATAAACTGGACTAGTTAGTCAACATTTCATTCTGTTGTTTTGTTCTTAGCTATTAATACTTGAAACCCATGGAGAATCACATTAACTAACAAACTCCACATGTATGTTATTTCCCAGTGAATTGTGTAAACTTTATTTTTTGTTGAAGATTGTATGTTAAATCAATGTTATGTTCTCATACTCCTTCTTGAGAAGGAGGTACTGATTTGGAATTGTATCATTTCCTTCAAAATGAAGGGCTGTGCTTACTTAGTTAAATAAAAGATCGATGACATCTTTTAAACCATTTCCTCTTCACTGTCTTATTAAAATCTGTCAAGTCCTTTTGAAAGATGCTATGAAGGTTTCCCATAAACTATCTATTAGAGTTAATTGAACTTAGGTATATTTTTACCACGTGAATAACTTTTTTCTGCCCTTTTTGGTCCAAATCCAAGCTATTAAGCCTACCTGCAGTTTTTCTGAGAATATTAGTGTGTATCTTTTTATTGCTCAGTAAACATTTTGATGAATTAGTGACTGAAAGCTTTCCCTGTGCTTACTGTGTGAGAGTCACCCATTGCATCTAGGCTATCAGTGTTCATGAAAAATGTCTCATGAACATAAATTTTCAATACACGTCGATTTTCAGAATTATTGCAAACTTTGCTGGAAACCACACTCATAGTTGGAATCTGCACTGTGGAGTTTTGGGATTAAAATCAGTAACCCGCGTTGCGTTTTAGATGGACTCAGAATCCCAGACAAGGGGAATGGGCTCAGCAACTAATTTAAATACAAAAGACGGGTAAGTGTAATCGTGGGGCGCCATTGCCATGAAAAGGGATGCAGGTCCCACCAATTGGTAAAGGAGCAGAGGTGGCATCTAGGACTGGTATGTGTGGGAGGCCACCAGCACTTCTTAGGCGAGCACCTGAAGTTGCTACCACATTCCTGTAAAGTTCAAAAGCCTGAGTTTTATCAGTGGAATCCTCTGAGAATTTTAAAAAGGAAGAAAGTTGAATGCTGAAGGTTATGGAGAGCTCAAGCAGCAGTGAGATCATTTTCCCCTGGAACTTATCATGATTCTCATTGCACAAGAAGTACAGGGAGAGAAGCCTAATCCAGAGCGTGTATTTATTCCTGGGTGATTGGGGTGTGGGCTGCTGTTCCCATTTCTCCTAAGTGGACCAAGCTCGCTTCATGTAGGGAAATGTTTGGAAGTGTTTAAAAGGAGCTCCAAAATGAACAGGCCCAAAATATGTGCAGAAAGGCTTTTACTGAATTTACGGGAAAAACTGCTGATTGAACAAATACAGCAATTTTATCTGCAGAGTAAATGCAAGAACAGTTAATGTCTGCATTTGCAATCCCAAGAAGTACTAAGTTATTTATGGAGGGGTAAAGGATGCTGAGCCCTAACCTAGGTACTAGAACATAACAGAAGTTAAAAAAACAACCTTCAGAGACAGTCCTTGAGCTTGTTTCTAAGGAGAAATTAATTTTATCCCTAATAGAGGACAGATAATAATAAAAGGCGGCCCTGTAAATGCTGATGGTTGACAGGGATTCAAATAACAGCAGATGTGTGCAGGTTTAATTGGAGTACTCCCGTTGGAGAAATCAGATGAAAACCTGAAGGTGCAGATGCTGATGGAGAATAGATGTAACTAATATAACTAATATTCACGAGGCACTTAACTAGGAGGCTTCTAAATTCCCAGTGCCTAACCTAATAAACTAGATCCATAGTTTCTGACCTCATGTAACTTACATCTAATAGGTAAGGCAGATAGCTAATTGCTTATGGAAAAGAAATTCACTAGAAGATATTTAATTACAGTTGTGATAGGTGTAATGAAGGATATATACAAGGTGTATGGGGGAGGATGTCTCTCCATCTGACTCAGAGAAGGGTTCTCTGAGGAAGTACCCTTTGGGCTGAACTTACAGGAGAAAGCCAGATGCTTCAGAGCGGTCACTGATTGCATTAGTTCAGGGTGAAGGTTGGGGAGTGAATGAATGAACAAACGTTGAGTGCTTTCAGAATGCCCTTGCTTCATGCTCCAGTAGCAGTCACGTCTCCTTGAGGTCTCCGTCCACCACACATTATCTAAGCCATGTGTGTATCTCCGACACTTAAGGCAGGATCAGGCAGAGAGACCCTCACTCAGAGTTTGAGTGAGCAAATGAATTCGGGCTCAGGGTTTGCTAGACTAGAAAGCCCTCATTTTCTCAAGGTGATCTCATGACTGTGGTTTGAAGAGGGAGAAACAGCAATGGTTTTTAGGTTGGATTGAACAGGGAGAGCGGATGAGTGACTGTCCTTCCCTCTCCCAGAACTAGAGGTGCTGCTGCTAATGCTACTGATGACTTAAATTGCCAGGCGAGTGATGAAGTAGAGGGTGAATTCGGGCCCTTGCCTGATGTGAGTGAGAGAAGTGGCACAGGCCAGGCCGCGTGGGAGCAGAGATGAAACAGAAGTTTTGCAGCCTGTTCGTCATAGCTGTGGAATCGTGATTGAGGAAGAATTTATTTTGTTCAGTTGGCCAACACAAGCTGCTGTTGCAATACAGTCTCTCATGCCTCATGGAGGATGGCCATAAATGACTCATAAGATGAGGTCTCTGCTACTTTCTTTGAGAAACTTGTATACAACGATGTAATTAACTGCCAAGGTTGGAGTATTCAGTGCATTCTTTTTAAATTCATAACTTCAAGGATTTATAATTTCAGAGGTCGAGAGAGGGTCTGATCTAGGCATACAGAATGGATTAGTGGTTAAGATTTGACAGTCAGACTACCTGGGTTTCTCTACTCTGGCCTTGGCCTACTATTGAGCTGGTGACCTTGAGAGTAGTTATGTACTTGCCTAGAAACTTTATTTCTTCTCTGTACAGTGCAGTTTATGACATCAGTCAACTCACCTAACTCTGCACTTCAGTTGTATTTGTAAAATAATATAACTAATGAATACATACTATATAATAGGACTATTAAAATAGTGTCTCCTTCAAATGGTTATTGTAAAAACAAAATGAAACAGTCCATATAAAGCCCAGATCGGTAGGTGTTAGGATTAACTAGAGACAATCTGGGCTATTGTATGTGTTCAAAAGCCTTATTCAAAATAAATAAAGTTACTGTCTGGAAGAGAGAGGTACTCTTCTCTTTAGTCTTAGAAAATGTCTTAGCTAGTTACAAGAAACCGGTAAGATAAGAAAGAACTCTAGTTAACACATCAGCTGTTTAGCCATTGCTGTAGTGTTTGAAATGTTTCTTGAGCTTGAATCTCTAGTAGAGGAATAGTTTAACTTGTTTATACATTTTATTATGTTTACTCATTAATTCAACAAATATTTCCTGAGAACTTTGAAGGTACCAGGTGCTGGAAAGCTGACATAAGAAGGGATATTGCACTAATAATATTAAATGATGAGGTCACCTTGCCTGCACGGCCCTATTTTTGTCATCACAACAGCCATCTGGACAGATGCTAATATTTTCATTTTATAGTTGAAACAGGTTTAAGGAAATGAGGTGATTTGTCCGTGGTCACACAGCTGATAAATGACAGCTCTGGCCTGGAACAGGAATGCTGGTCTCCAAAGCCCCAGACTGCGGTTCATCCACCAAAGCATCACCTGACCACTGGTACCCCTTTGCCCCTCCCTCCTCCTCACCTGTGGAGAATACCTTACTCTGCACCAACGTCTAGCATGCAGCAGCAGTATCTGAATAGCATGCCTCCTTGCAGCAGCTCTCGAGGCCGTGAGACCTGGGGAACAGAAATGGGCACAGCAGCCTACCCCGGAATCACCCAGAAATAAATAACAAATAAAAGGATTAGGTAGTGACTCAGGGCGGCAAGAAGAGGCAGAAAGAGGAAGAGAGGCAACTCTCAGCCAGGGGGGATTTCACATCCTTTTCAGGGGTAACAATGACAAGCTGGGGTGAATGTTCGCCATCCCATAATGACCCGCACCTTCCTTGTGGCTGAGCACGATGCCAGTCCCTGCTCAGACTGCCCTTCTTCTCGTCTCGCTTTTGTGACTCCATTTCCCCCTTCAGGCCAAGGGCAGGTCACTCAGGCATGCTTTGAATCATGGCTCCATAACTTGGCCTTGGGCAGGTTCGTAATTTCTTTAAGCTACTGTGACTTATCTAAGAAGATGGCACTATAGGTGCCCACTCCCTGGGGCTGTTCATCGGCTTACATGAGATAAAGTCAATCTAATGCATCATG